CCAGTAGGGAGTGTGCAGGAGGCAGCTGATCAATGTTTCTCTCTCATCGATGTTTCTAACTCTCTATTCCTCTCCTTTCCTCTCTGTAAAAACTCAATAAAATATATTTAAAAAAAAAAAAGGCATAAGCAAACCTAAGTTTCCATAGGAAGACAATGAGAACTGATCTGCTCCAATCATTTAAACTCAAAATTATAGTAGTCAAACATCTTCACATTTGTAATAAAATTATCCCATAAAATTAATCACAAAAGATTCTAACAATGCTGCACAGAAAGTACATTCTGACCCCACCCAAAAAAACATACAAAATGGCAAGTAGCTACTCTAGATAGCTAGAGGTGAAACCCAAAGGTAAAATATCCATGTATAAATTGATTTTTGTGAATTTTGGTACTGCCATCTTTCGCCTATGAAATTCCCAGATTACACAGCAAAGTTAACAGAATTTTTTTGCCTCAGAAATGAAGATCTATATAAAATAATCTTCCCCTTAGCTACTTATCAAATATAAAAATATAGGAAAAGTTTTACTGTGGCTATATTTATGTTACCATTTGAAAACTTATGCCATCTAAACTTACAAAGTCGTGTCCTGTGTAGTCACTTCTAGTATTAAATGTACCTCTATAGCCCAACTGCCAGTTTTGGGACCCTTTCCTACAAATAAAGTGAAGCTGGCACAGTATCCCTATATAACAGTGATTCCCAAGATTCATTTTCTGAAATCGTGTCCTAATCAGAAGTTAAAAATTGGCAAAAAGTCTTTTAATAATGAAACTTGTGGAGATTTCTATTATCTGAGAATGTGCTACATTTAAACAAATCTGATCCAAAAACTCACCTAAAGAGTTGACATAAATCCAGATAGTGTTCTCAAGATAAAACCCTAATAATAAAAAAGCCAACTTTGTTATAGTGTTATCAACAGCAAAATAAAAATACTAAAGCAGTACGGTTGGTATTTCTCTTATATTATTAATCCTACAATCCCGGAACCAGTGTTTTAGGTATGTTCCTTCTTATATGTATCAAAACTCATACTGAGCAATGAGTTCTGGGTTGCAAAAGAGGCTTTATTTTTAGCACCTGTATGTAGTTTTTGTCCACAAATTACAAAAACAAACACAAGTGCTATTGTGAAATGCAGTATATTTAGCAATATAATCAGTAATATTTATGGCGACAAAAGACACTGATAGTATTCCAGGCTGTTAAGGGGAAATTATTAAATTCTTATCAGCACTGAACATTTGACAATAAAGGTCACTTCTGTCTGAATAAAAATACAGTAAGGGTTTCAGATATCCTAAGAAGGGTGACTTGTTGCCATTCATTAGTGATAAGATTTTATTTTTAGGATTACAATCTCTATACTTTGATTCAGTGCTCAAATAATACCTCTCAAATTTTTTGTACATGCACAATTTCACTTCAATTTTTCTTAATAATTACTTCTTTAGCAGTTTCTTTCACAAATTTGTTCAGAGGTTCTTTTTATTTTCATCGTGGCAGTTTTATCACTGGACTGGCATATATATTCATATCTTTACTTTCTGTAGTTTCTTTTTCTCTAGTCTCTTTACCTTGACATTCACGTTCGTATCTCCTTTTCAGGTCACTCTGTCTTCTGTCCAATGTTTTTAGACTTTGATACTCTCTTTTTAGACAAAGCAACGTCTTCAGTGTATTCTTGCTCTAAATATACATTCATCTTCTTTGGTAATTCAGAACTTATTATGAAATAATTATTCTCCTGCATAAAAGATACCAATATTAAGCAATAACTAAAACTTTATTGCTTTAGTAATTACACATAACTGAGTTCTAGATGATTTCAACATGAAGACATCCAAGATGTTAAAAATCCAATTAACTTTTGCTTTTATTCTCACTTGATAGCCTATAGCAAACCTAACAATAGTACTAAAAAGTCCATGTCACACTAAACTACCCAAAAAGCATTTTTATTCTTGCATTTCCTGCACCAAATGTATTATAGCCTTTCCAAAATTAAACAGGGACTGTAAGACAGTAACTACTGGATAAAATTCTTCCTGTACCATCTGAGGCACCCTCCCAAAAGGAAACAGGATAAAAATGTCACTTACCACCAATTTGATATCACATTCATCATCACGTCCAAGATTTGTAGCAACCTCATCTTCTTCTCTGCAATATTCAAAATATCAGATGACTAAATCCTCTATAACCCAATAAATAGTATATTATATAGTTACTACACACAAAATAGCTATACTAGTCAAGGAGGAAAATTACACTGTCATGTATAACACCCAAAATTGGCTCTCATGTGCCAAGCTCATAGCTCAACTGTAATAACCCAAATGGCCTAATGTATCTTTGCTCCCATCATTATTAAAGTATGAACAAATTAAAAGCATAAGGATGAATGAGCATTAATAAAAAACAATTTGACATGATTAAACTTACGCTGACTCTTCAATAGGAGAGATCGATCCATCATCATCCAAGTATTTATATCTACGACTATCAAGGTCTTCTTTTTCTAAATCTTCACCAACATTCATCTGATTTAAGGATTCCTTAAGGTGGTATTCATATTTCAGTTTTTCAAGGTAGTTGAAAAATCCTCTTGCCACTGCTTGCTACAAATCAGAAAGTCACAGCCTTACAAACTAACACTTTCCTCCACCCCTCAACAGAGGTGTGTTCCAAAACAGCAAGGACCCCCTTACAAGAACTCTCAGTGATTTTGATTTAACTACTCTGCCATATGCAACTCATGTAATACAACAAATACTGAATGTAAAACTCACTGCTACCTAGAAAATTATCAAACTTACTGAAGTTGGCACAACCAAGAACAAATCGTATGTTTGGGAATTACTAGACTTAAATGCAGATAAACAATCTTTTAACCCCACCTGGGGTTATTTTTCTATTGCTTTTAAATAAG